CTATCAGAAAGAAGTTTGCCTGTGCCTTATTGACTATGCAAAAGCATTTCACTGTGTGAATTATAACAAATAATGGATAACATTACAAAGAATGGGAATTCCAGAACACTTAATTGTGCTTATACAGAACCTGTACATAGACCAAGAGGCAGTTGTTCAAACAGAACATGGGGATACTGCATGGTTTAAAATCAGGAAAGGTGTGCATTGGGATTGTATCCTTTCACCGTACTATTGACCGTACTATTCAATCTTTATCCTGAGTAAATAACCTGAGAAGACAGATTATATGAAGAAGAACATGGCATCAGGATTGGAGGAACACTCATTAACAATCTGCAATTTGCAGATAACACAACCTTTCTTGCTTAAAATGAAGAAGACTTGAAGCACTCACTGATAAAGGTCAAAGACTACAGCCTTAAGTATGGATTACACCTCAATATAAAGAAAACAAAACAGGACTTTATAAAAGCCAGACCAATAAGCAACATAGTAATAAGTGGAGAAAAGATTGAAGTTGTCAAGAATTTCATTTTACTTTTATCTATAATCAGTGCCCATGGAAGCAGCAATCAAGAAATCAACTAACATATTACATTGAGCAAATCTGATGCAAAAGACCTCTTTATAAAGTGTTAAAGAGTAAAGATGTCATTTTGAAAACTAAGGTGCGCCTGACCCAAGTCATGGTATTTTCAATGGCCTTATATACATGTGAAAGCTGGACAATGAATAAGGAAGACCAAAGAAGAATTGATGCATTTTAATCATGGTGTTAGGGAAGAATACTGAATATACCACAGCCAGCCAGAAGAACAAACAAATCTGCCTTGGAAGAAGCACAGCCGGATGCTCCTTAGAAACGAGGCTGGCAAGACTTTGTCTCTCAAACTCTGGTCATATTATCAGGAGGGGCCAGTCCCTAGAGAAAGACACCATGCTTGGTAAAGTAGAGGGTCTGCGATAAAGAAGAAGACCCTCAATGGGATGGATTGACACAGTAGCTGCAACAGTGGGCTCAAACAGCATTGTGAGGATGGCTCAGTACTGGGCAGTGTTTGGCTCTGTTGTACATAGGGTTACCATGAGTCAGAAAGGATTCGACAGCACCTAAGAACAACAACAACAGAGTTTAGCAGCAGACTAGATGTAGGGAGAACCAGGTGTCCAGCCTTGGTGATAAAATGGCTTCAACAATGGGGAGGAATATAAGCAAGCATAAATGAATAATATAGTTTTCATAATATAATAAATAATATAAATGATTGTGTATCAGCAAAAAAAAACACCATGCTCCCATCTTTCAAGTGTAGACTTGCTAAAAATGTATTGGTCTTCAATATTACAAGCATATTGAAAAAGTTTACAAAGATGAATGCTTTAATAATTTTCATACTTAGAAATCCTAGGTCAATTGTCTGTTTGGTAACAATAAATTGCTCCCAATATCATGAATAATACACCAAAAAAAAAAAAAAGGAGGAGAAATTAGTATTCCAGAGCAAGAACGGACCTTGTAAGGCATAGGCCAGCTCCTCATTTTCTAGGAGGAAATACTGAAGCCTAGGAAAACTCAGTAATTTACTCAGAGTAACACAGGCAAGGAGTAGAAAACTGAGGACCAAAACCCAGGTTGCCAAATGTCTATTGCATTGGTGACTGTGGAAAAAGATTGACTGTCTTCAGGAAGACGGGGTAACATTTCAATGCAATTCCATTCCCTCTCTAGTCCTTCCTGCCTGTGTTCCTCCAAACAGGTTCCTGAGAATACTGAGGACCTACCATTGACTATTTTCTTCTTTACTTTCTCATAAGTCTCTTAAAATTCCTTTTAAAAAAAAGATGAAGTAAACAATTTTGTCATAAAATATTGGTTGTTCTAATTCTAGAATGTCAAGGGAAATGAAAACATAGCAATAGGTGGATACAGCTCACAAAAGAGAACAATTTATAGTATCCAGCATCTCCGTGACAACTCTGACCTGCAGAATGCAGACTTCAAGATTCCCTGGGGGAAAGACCTGGAGTTGGTTTGTATTATTAGAAGGCATTGTATTATATTAGGTCATATCTACATAGCCAAAAAGAATATTAAACAAGTACGCTTGTTGATTTATACAGATATGGGGGCTTATTAAACAGGCAAAAGCTGTTATCTTAAAAATGGGAGGAATTGAGTATGACTCACCTATTTTGAAAGTCAGCACATCATGAATTCACCATGGCATGACAGAGAGATCAAAACAGTTGCCTATTGACTCTAATGGGAGCTCTGGTAGCATAGTGCCTAAGGCACCTGACTGCTAACCAGAAGGCTGACGGTTCAAACCGACCAGCCACTCCTCAGAAGGAAGATGGGGCAATCTACTTCTGTAGTGATACTGCCTCAGAAATCCAAGGAGGGGTTGCTATGCGTTGGTCCGACTCAATGGCACATAACAACAACAACAACATTGATTCTAATCCCTTCAAAAGCCAGTGTAGCTCCTCAAGGTGCTAAAATTCAACTTTTTCCTTAAGGAGTAGTCTATTTAAAATAGCCTCTGCTCCCCACTCTCCTGCATGCCATTGCGGACTCAGCCTTGGAGCAATGCAGGCCAATTACTATTAATTGGAAGCCAGCATTGTGTCATGTCAGTGGACACTTGCACATGCTTTCTTATTGAATGCTCGTAACTCTATGAGATGTATTTTCAGATCAGAAAGCACAAGTTGAAAGAGGTTCAGCTACTTGCTCAAATTCACAGTTTGTCAGTAGAAAGCACAAAAATCAAAACAAGTATGTCTGCTGCCAAATTCCATGATCTTAAACAAGGTATCCTAACCCCATCAAACCATCATTGCCCCCATCCCACCCCAGATGTATACAAAACATGCATATGAGTAGAACGTACTCAGAAGCAGAAGCACTGAAGATGAGGGGAGGTAGAAAAAGTAAAAGGGATTTCAGATACCTATTTTGTTCTCTTTCATTGTGTACATAAGTCACAGCTTTCTAGTTTCGATTGAGATTACAATATTTCCTCCCCCAGCCTCTAGAACTGATCTCAATGAGGCAGGTACTATTCAGTGTTCTAGTGCACACAGGGCAGTGTTCTGATTTGCTCTACAAACGAAATTCTAAAATTGTAATATATATTCCCATGTCTCTGCCTTCATGGAAAACCCAGGATTAAAAATGCCTTAGGTAGTCTTGGAAAAGTCTAATCAGTTAACCAAATAGCTTCAACTCTTACTCCCCTCTTCTGACCCAGAGCTAATAACAAAGTGTAGCTCCAAAGCTATGTTGCTGTTATATGTTGGATCAGAGCTTGAAAAACCTTAACTATTAAAGTTTTCTGTAGGGACGCTCCATGGCTTCTGCAATTTTACTATTCAAGGAGTCCTGGTGGTTTCAGGAATTTTTAAATAGTGCCCAAAGCAGACTTTCCCTCCACTTTAGATTAAATGTGGCATCCACTCAGAAAACATGGAGTTGAGAAACTTTACAGCTGCTGATAAAGTCTGACACCGCAAGAATACTTAACATTTATTGGACTAAGGGGTTTTGTACATCATATGGGTCATGAAGTAAAGAACATCTAAGGAATCATATCCAGATGCATCAAAAAAGATAGAAACATCCTTCACACAGGAACCAAAGATTACATAACTCACCTTCCCCTGCCCGCACATAGCAAGCAGTTGATAAATGTCTAGTAAATGAGTGTTTCTCTTCTAGTGTTTTCATTGTCAGAGCACTGGTTGAAAAGTAGAGTAGCCAATCCAAAAGATTTTGAATGTAATACTATAAATTCATTTTGCTGCAAGCAGCCCCAAAATAAAAGTATGCAGTTTTCAAGTAGAGCAAGCAAAAAACAAACAAACAAGTTTCACAGCAGAACCCTATTAACTAGGCAATTTATGAAAAGATGAAAGACAATCCAATTTACAAAATAGGTATTAACATGCAAATTTTAGGGAATTGCATAGAATGAGACAAGTAGTAAATCCATCCGGTCATTTCTTCAAAACACCATCCTAAATTCCACTGTTTAGAATGCCCACATTAATTCTAGACCTGGCCTCTCCCTCTATCTCTCCCCACCCATCTGGCTAATTCATAAGTGTGTCTCAATGTCAGATAAAGCTTCAACTCTTCCAGGAAAACTTCCCTCATTCCTCAAACCAAAAAAACACTGTCCACATCTCTGTTGTGGAATTATTCCACTGTATTATCATTACATATTTATGTGTCTTTTCCTCAACTAAGACTTCTTTTTCTTGTGGGAGAAATAAGTCTTAATCAGATCTATTTCTCTGCTAAGCCTGAACATAGTAAATCCTCAATAAATATTTGTGGAATGAATAAATAAGTGAATGTATCAGAGACATAAAAACATACAGATTTTAGGTGTGACTAGTGATCATGTGATGGTAAATTTATCTGAAAGTGTCAATGGCAACAGTGAGTCTTAAGTGGAGTTTGAGACTCTTGATAACTGATGTGGTATGACAGAAGGACACACAGAAAACTGCAGATAAGAGGGAAAGTATGAATTAAACCTGACTCCACGGCACATAACAACAACAACAACAACTCCTCGGAAGGAAGGTTGGGCAATCCTACTTCCGTAGTGATAATGCCTTGGAAACCCAAGGAGGGGTCGCTATGAGTCGGGGCCGACTCGACGGCAAACAACAACAACAACACTTACAAAGGAATCCCAGATGAACAGAAGTTTGCCTGATGTAGCAAAGATTGTGAACACAAGTACAAGTAGAGAGAAACATGAAAAGAACTTAGGACGTTTGGTCCCCTTGGTCGAAGATCTTGCCTCTGATCTAAATCTAGACTATCCCAGCTGCTACTAGGCATTACAGTGTTGTCATCACCAGAGCCTTATGTGCACTGTAAGCCTGGTGACTCATATTCCAACTCTTCAGTGCCATGCAGAAAGACTAAGTATTTCTTACCAAAAGCAAGAATACTTTTAGTAGCACAGGCAGCCTCTTACCTGCTGATTCTGATAGGCTGTGACTGTGGTGAACACAGTCTCAGGAAAATTGAATGTTTTCACTCCATCCCCAACGGGGACAGGTTTGGTGGGTGAAAGGTCGCTGCTGAAGTCCTTGCGAATCACATGAACTCTAGGCTGATATTTGTGCATAGAGTGCAGAATGATCTGAAATGAGAAGGGAAAATATTATGCCAAGATTGGCTTTAAGAGCCTTATAACTCTTCAAGCTCATTTGAACAACAAATCAGAAGATAGAAGTACTATGGGAAGGACACAGGCTGGAAATGGGATGCACGGGAAACTTGAAATCAGGATATAGGCCCGTGTTATTTTTTGTTGTTTATCCATCATCAAGTCAATTCTGACTCATAGTGACCCCATATGGGTCATGACAGAACTATGCTCCATAGCCTTTTAAAGGTTGTGACCTTTTGGAACAGATCTCCAGGCCTGTCTTCTGAGGCATCTCCAGGTGGGTTTGAACTGCCAACCTTTCAGCTAGTAGTTGAGCACTCAATTGTTTACATGACCCAGGGACTGCTTATACATGCCCATGGGATGAATGATTAGTAACTGAGCATTAGATGAACCATATAACGGGCATCTCAATCGCAGATGGTGGGCATAATATGTTTGCTTTGATTGGATGAGTTTAAAATGGCTGTTCTGGTACTAGTGGATAACACTCCACTCAAAGGTCTCAGAACCTCTTGCATGTGACAAGTTGTTTGCTCCAACTTCAACTTTACAGCACGTACTCAGACTCTTTAAATACTACATGTTATTGTTTGGCACTAGTTGTGTTTCTAGAAGTTCTTTGATGTCATTTGAGAATGAATGAGTACTTGTGTTCTCCCTCCCTCAGAAAATTGTCATTTCCTTGAAGATAGAAGCCATGGTTTTAGCTTCTTTTCAATCTTCTCATAGCATCCAGTATGGATCCTGGCATTCATTGAAACCTCAATACACATTTCACTGCCAAAAATAAATTAATGACATTCACTGCTCCAATTATACCTGGAAAGCCTTAAGACCTAGTCTTCTCATAAATTCATAAATCCTTTAATCAGCCAAACTGTCACTTCAGATATTTCCCTTAGGTTATTGCCTTGTAAGTTATCCTACTGAATGCTGTTATTTTCTTTTACCGTTGTTTAATTTGACATGTGTTTCTCTCTTGCCTCCCTGACTGGACTGTAAATCCTTGTAGCACAAGAACTTTGTCTGATATACTTTGTCTGATGTATAGCAGGTGTTTGCTAAATGTTGGATTTTTAATAAATGAAATTTCACAAGAGGGAAAAAAAAAATTACGCTTAATCTTAAGACTTATAATGACATGGAGAGTCTTATTTTACCTGACTGAAAAATCCTTGGCCTACTCATTCTAGAGTAAAAAGGGAAACAGGAAAGAAAGTAGAGATAAAATTCTTTGACTCACATGTCCTTGATCATCCAGTTCATTGTTGGTCAGCTTGAGTTTGTCAAAACTGACGACCTGTCTCATCCAGGTGTCTCCAGAAGCTAGAGAATCAGGGTGAATATAAACTCTTGGGGGTACGGGGGAATCAGCATTGCCTGCCACCATCCACTTGGAGCTGTGATACACATATCTGAGATAGACAGGGAGAGAAAGGAGAGTTCATAGACAAATGCAAAGAGGGGACAGAAGCTCAGGAAATGAGCAGAGATAGGAGAAAGAAGGACAAGAAAAGAGATACCAAGAATAAAGAATAAAGATGTAATAGGGGTGAAACAAGGAGCTCTGGTAGCATAGTGCCTAAGGCACTTGACTGCTAACCAGAAGGCTGGCGGTTCAAACCCACCAGCCACTCCTCGGAAGGAAGGTTGGGCAATCCTACTTCTGTAGTGATACCACCTAGGAAACCCAAGGAGGGGTCACTATGAGTCGGGGCCGACTCGATGGCACATAACAACAACAACAACAGGGGTGAAACAGAATGCAAAAGAGAAAGAGAGAAGGGGATACACAAGGAAAATGAGATAGAGATGAAGGAAAAGGTGGGTGGGGGGAGGACAGAGAAGTGTTGTGGTTAATGGTCAAAGCTCTCCTAAGGAAGATATTCTCACAGCCCCTTTCTTTTTGTTCCCCCTCCTTGCCAAGCACCTCTGTGTGCATGCAGGCATTTGAACCCACATTATCTAGCAACGGGAGAGGTATTTTACTACACTCTTTCATCTTTCAAATGCAAACCATATAATCTAATCCCTTAGCTACTTGTTCAGGATTTGGTTCCTTACAGAAAAACATCTCCTATACTGTCCTGTAAAACATAGCCATGAGCAGAGACCCTCTATGTCTTCCATTTGTTAACCATTTGCTTGCTAAGATTCTGAATTTTGAGGCATTTCTATGAGAATAGAAGGTCTTTGCCTTAGTGCAGTCATTCCCAGAAAGACCGCCACATCTTCCCAGTTAGTGTTCTCTTTGCTGAACCTACTTATGAGCTTAATCATCTTCCACATTATTCTCCCACAAGGCTACTCAAAATGAGATGTTCTGGGTAGCAAAGGAGGTCAGTTTACCAGACTTTGACCACTGTGCTATAGTTCCAGATAGCTCTCTCCATGGATCTGTCACTTCCCTGCTTCTCAGTTCTAAAGGACCATGTGAGAACTGGACCCTGGCAAACAGAAGCACTCAGTTAAAATCCAAGTCTCAAGATCCTCTAAAACAGATCTGAAGCATCCCCTCTCCTATGACCTATAACTTAGACAACTTCTTTTTCAGCCAGCTCTTCCAGCTATACTAGTCGTAACCTTTCTCACTGATCTCTCACCTCCAATGTATGGGTTTATGGCTGAGGTCTCAGACTTCATATCTTTGAATAATGAGCCATGATTCACTGATTTAACTGAGATCTCAATGACTGACTTATTTTGGAAAAGAACTATGTATAAAGCCATCCAACAGACATGGAGACTTTGTGGAGTTTTTTTGTTTTGTTTTAAGCTTTATACCTGGGCAAATGCCACCTTTTTGATCTTGTTAGGTTGATTGTTCTAAAGAGTATGTACCTCCCTGGTGTTATTGTTCACCTTATAAGCCTGTCTATCATTTGGCTCAAAGTTGAGCAAGAGGTGACTTCAGTTCCAGGCTTGAAGGGTGACCTTGTGGCCTTTTAATGACTTTGGGGAAGTTATTTAACAAACTCACTCACAACCCATATTAATGAACAATAACCAAAAATACCAAACCCACTGCCATTGAGTCGATTCTGACTCATAGCAACCCCCTGGGTCTCAGAGGTGGTAAATCTTTATGCAAGTAGATTGCCTCATCTTCCTTCCATGGAACAGCTGGTGGGTTTGAACTGCCAACTTTCTAGTTAGCAGTCAAAGGCCTTAGGCACTGCACCACCAGAGCTCCTTATTAATGAACAATAATTCTCACTAATTAGATGTTCCTCTTGAGGTGGTACCCAATTCTATTCTTCCTGTCCATCATCCACAAAATAATTTATCAGATTGTATGTACTACCCTGTCCCCTTCTCTTTTCCTTCTCCAAAATAAATCATTCCAACTCATTTATCATTCATTAATGCAGTAATTTAATTTCTTAATCACTTTCAAGACTGATAGAATCTCAGCTATAGAGCCACTCAATTTTCACTTCTCTGGAACACATTACAAAATTCTAATCACTCTAAACACATAGGAAAGATTCCAGATTAAACCATTACTGAGCCCTAATTTCCTCCCTCCAATTACTACTTCCTGCCACTACTTTCTACCACAGGCCATTGACATATCCCCCATTCCTTATTCCCTATACATACACTGTGAAAATGCTTCATTTAATGAGTCTAAAGAACCCTGCTGGAATACTGAAGATGCCCACAATTCCACATCCCATAGTCATCATTACCTGTATCTTTTATTGTCCACAGGCACAATATCCATTGCTATGTAGTACTGCTGATGTGGGTCTAGCCCGGTGATTTTCACTCTCATGGCAGGAAACATTCTCCTAGGAAGGGTAAGAAGGTAGTAAACTCAGCAATAAAAGATGGAGGAGGAGTAGAATAAAACTTGAAAAGTCTTTTTATTAGGAACTCTAAGTACATCAGAGCCCAATATCCTCTAATTCTCAAAGTTGGCAAATTTTTTTTAATTGGAAATTACTACTATAAAATATGCTAGGGATTTATATTGCTGAAATAGTGCCTCTTAACTGAAATTGACCAGTTTGATGATTCATGTATTAGTAAGGCTCATAATATACATGCTACCTTGGTCTATAAATTTATGCATACAGTTGATACAATTCCCTTTGTAATAACAATGATTTCTATATATATATTAACTATATTATTAATATTTAATGTAATCTATATGTGTGTGTAGCCACACATACATTGCAAACCAGACTATAATATCGTTAAATATACCACTAAAAACGTAATTTATCTCTTCTTATTACCCAAAATGTTTCTCATTGTAGATGATTATGAAATATTTTTAATTGAGTGAATCTCTTTTAAAATGATTTCTCTAAAAATAATCTCTCAAGAAAAGAAGAAAAAAAAGGAAGTTGTTCTCTCTTCCCAAGCAAAGGGTCACTAACGTTGGTTTTCCTGTTTTATTTTTTTAAAAAACTATAAAATTTTCTGAGAGTTCTCAGGCTGTCAACATGTGTGTTGGAGGAAGAACCTTTCAGAATAGGGAGCCAATAACAAATGAATTTTAGTGGCCTCCAGCAATACCTTGTTTCTACCACAATGGCTTGTTAAACTTGCCAAAGAAAGCAAGGTCAGGATATGACACTTTACAGCTACCCTCATAATTGAAGAGAGGAGGAGAGGGAACAGCCCAAAAGAGGTATAGAGTTTCAAAAAGTCTAGAATAAAGTTCACCATTCTTCTTTAACCATCAGAAGGAAGAAAAACATCAAGCTTTTTTGTATGTCATTCATTTAGGGGCCAGACATAAAAAGTGCTCAGTTCAAAAATTTGGATTGGTCTGAATGCACTCTTAGGATACTTGTATACAAAATGCGACATTAAGCTTAACCATCTGGGGCCAGTTAGCTGAGCTGGGCAGAGCACAGTTCTAATGAGGTCAAGGTCACAGGCTTGATCCACATATGGCTTAATTGGCTTTGCTCCATTTCACGGTCATAGACCATACCCTGACCCCAGACAGCCATCTTGAAAATATGCACTGTTTGGTTACATTTGGGGCTCCCTGTGCTAGTTATACACTTCACTAATCGTCCTGGAAAAGCAACTCAAAAATCAAATGTCTTCTGACAGTAGGTCAGTGACATCATAACCTTATTTGAGGGAAGATGCAAGAGGGATCATATTGTTAATGTCTAAGTATTTAAAAATTCACAAATAATAATATATAGCCATTCCTCCATTCCCACATTAGTACTTCTCAGAAACTCATATTGGTATATTATTTTAGATTTCCTCCCCCTTCCTCTGCAAATTCAATTAGAAAGCCTTATATTTTGGTTTTGTCCAAGTGAAATTTTATAGTGGGATAGTAGTCATAATGACAAAGTCTAACAGTCACTATAGGTTAAGCACTTTGAGTCACATTAATTCTTTCCAAAAACTTGGGAAACTTGGTCGATACATTTAAATACAGGTTGTATAAAACCAAACCAAACTCATTGCCATCAAGTCAGATTCAACTCATAGTGACCCTTCCTTGGGTTTCCGAGGTGGTATCACTACAGAAGTAGATTGTCCAACCTTCCTTCCGAGGAGTGGCTGGTGGGTTTAAACCACCAGCCTTCTGGTTAGCAGTCAAATGCCTTAGGCACTATACCACCAGAGCTCCTACTACAGGTTGTATAATTCCTTTCTTAATAACAATGATTTATGATTGCCCTGTATATGTGAATGGTTAAAGAACATCTTAATAGCAATGAGCAGAAAGTCCTCTCATTTGTTACCTGAGATAAAGAAATGGGGTTCCTCTATACCTATACAGAGACTATGCTTCATTGAGAGAGATGGATTTTTTTTATGACTTTAAGAAAAGGAAGTGAATGTTTTTAAATTAAGTACCTGTTTTCTCTGAAACACTTACTATATGACTTTGAGTAGAGAAGCTACCTGTCTCTTCCCAGTACACAAGTCCTAAAATGACTGAGTTGTGTGACTTTGGGTAAATCATTTAACTCCATCAACTATAAAACAAGGAAATGGGACTAGATATTCTCTAAGGTTCCCCCTGCTTTAAGATTCTATGATTGTTTCAATTCTCTAATTAAAGACTTACCAAAAGTTGCCTTTTATGTTTGCCAGTATTATAACACAGAATACCAAGTGAAGTCATAACTCTGGAGCAAAACTAGTTTTTCATATTCCACAAAATGAGATGTATATTTGGTTTTAATATTATGGCTAAATTTAGGCCAGTTGTTTTGTCTTTCAAACCCATTAATCCTTCCAAATGCCTCTGTCCATGGTGCTGATATACAGATTATGTTGGTGCATGCTAAGATTGAGGGTTCTAGAGACTGCAGTAGTTCTGAATCAACAGAATTAAATTTTGGGGTGTGGCAACAGGTATGTGGTGACTAATATTTCTAGGAAGGAAGAAGGACATGAATTTATGCATAAATAAGGCCCTAAGAAAATGGCAGTTTGAATTAAAATTGAAAAGGACTTTGCATAAGAAGGAAAATGAAGAGAGAAGAGAGAAATCAACTGAGAGAGTGGAGAGAGAATGAAGGAAATCTACAGAAGAGAAATCCTTCTTTGTATGTTTCTGAGGTGTTCCAGAATTAACTGAGCAGTTACATGTAGCAATAGAAACAGCTCAATACAGAATAAATGAATGTAACTTCTAAATCTACAAAAGGACTCCAGTATAACTAAAGAAAACACCATGACTGTATTGGAGAATATCTAGATGTATTCATGTATAAAAGTAAATCTATGAATACAATGGTATGGAAAAGAAAATGTTGTTGAAGAAATCATGAAATGAGGTCACGGCACAGAAGGATTATCAAGAAGGTGCTGAAATAAGCTGAATTTACTGAAGTGTAACTTACTGAGTGAGGAGTATGATATTGGGAACAAGAGTTACTTGAATACACATACCTAGTGATACAAAAAATAAAATAAAAACTAGAAACATAGAAAAAAAAAAGTGTAATATTTCCTCCCACCAAAACAATCATCTACCAAAAACTAAGCAAAAAATAAAAACTTTTTCCTTTAATTATTGTTTTCTTCTAAGTTTTAATATCTCAAAATGTGCATGAAGACCAAGCAATAAACAAATATAATACTGAAAGTAACTCCTTCGAAGTTACTCCTCCTAGGAAGCTTTTTAATGGTTTTATTCACTACTAACAACTAAAGAAGGAAGAGAGTTCCAGAAGACAAAGAATAAGGACAAGATTTCATGTTCATTTTACCCAGTGTTTCTGTGGTATTATATGTTATTCGGAGGTTTCTCTATACGCATTCAAGTAAACTGGATCCAATCTTTTTTTTTTTTTTAATATCCATATTCACGCAGATAGCTTATGAGGAATGAAGCAGGTCTTTCTAGGTCTCCATGAGACTATGTAGACTGACTGAAAATATTAAAGTAGCATAATATTTTTGTTTAGCTTCAATTAACTTTCCTATATACTCAAAATCTTAGTCCAAGTTGAGTTTGATCTATATCATCTTCATTTTTAATCCAAAGGGCAAGAACTACAATCATTTCTTAGTACAGACTTTTAAATAATTAAGATTATTGTTTTGGAGTCAGGCTGATTTGTCAGGAGTTCTGGAGCTTTCTCCTTAATACCCATGTGGGCTCAATCAAGTTAATCTACCTCTTTTAGCCTCTGTCCCCTCATCCATAAATGGGAACGATAATATCTTACCTCATAGGATAGCTGTGAAGTTTAAATGAAGGAATTTATGTTGAATGTCCTGCCCAAACAGATATTTAAGTTTGGAAAATTAAAACAAACAAAGAAAAAGGAGTAACTTAACCAAAAGTGTTTCTTTCAACAGCAATTGTGTTTACAAAATTTTTGTCATGCTAGTTAGATATTTTGTGAAAATTTCCTCCAGATTGCCATTAATACTTTATAATAAATACAATCCAAGAATAAAGCAAAAGGGATCAATGAGCAGGGTTCAGAACATGCACCAATTCCAATTCTTAAAAATCCTTTAAAAAATGTCTGATTGCTTTAACTGCCTTAAAAGATGCACGCTGTTGTTTAGGGAGCAAACTCTATTTATTTTGAAAACATTGGATGGTAAAGTAAACACTTGCTTTGGAAATGCACCTTTTAGCTGTTTAGATAAAGTATTAGCTAAACTGCATTTGAAGGTAAGAAATGTTTGCGTGGATACAGGTGAGTTAAGTTTCAGTGGCCCCTGGAGGAAAATAGCAATATCATACTAAACACAACAGGACCACTTTACCAAGATGTTCAGACGCAAGAAAGTGAGGGCAAGTTGCTCTGACTCCACAAATATATGAAAAGAAAATATGTAACAGCACCTACTTTTGATCTTCACTCTTTGAATTTGACTATGGAACATATCCTTACCTGCCTGCTTTGGTGATGATCATTTCAGTTCCAATATCATGGAACCTTTTCCAGAGATCAGCACATTGCAGCTCCACCTGAATCTCCTCCATGGAGGACATAGTGGCAGGCACAGGGCCTGCAGCACCAGAGGTCAGGTCACGGTGAGTGTCAAAGGAGCAGGAAGTCCTCTCAGTGAGCACCTCAGAATCCGAACCAGTGCTCTGCTCGGAATCTGCAAAAGAAACAATCAAGCCTTAGGTGAGAAACTGCTGAGCACCTGCCCTAAAAAAATATGTGTGTGTGAAATGGGGAAAGGGGTGAATAAAAGGAGATGAGAAGCTCCAGAGCACAGCACTCAGGGTATTTTATTATTTTTTTTATGATTTGTTTTTTGTGATTTACAACCTTCTTTCAGGTTTCTTGTTTCCAACATGGCATCTGGCATTTTAGTAAGTTTTAGCAACAGCTGAAGAAAATTGGTCCACAACAGGCAATGTGAAGTGTACTAATGTCACCATGTTGAAGAGAATGAAGGCAAACTGCGGTGACAACAACAACAAAGTGTCAAATTAAAAAATAGTAATAATTACAGCCTATTGCTCCAAATCTAGATTAGGCAATTTCATTGGGGTGGGAGGGAATTTGATGTTTTCTTTAATTCCATACCACTTGCCATCACTGTCCATCAGGCAGTTATTTTTAAGCACAGCCATTTTTCCTCCACTTACTTATATGCCCCAGTGATCAAAAGTAATGAAAAGTTGTTTGGGATCTTTAGAAACATTTTGTCATCTATTTGAGTAAATGGCTTTTCCTAAGAGTCCTATCAGACCATTTTGGATTAAAAACAAAGTCTTTTGTGAGGCAAGGATGTAAGCATATGGAAAAAGTTACCCAAGAAGGCGGCTGAAACAAAGGGAATAAATGAGTTCAGGAGACACCTTGATTGGTTTCTGAAGTATGGGCAGAGGGGAAGGGTGATCAAAACAGGAAGGTGGGATTGAGAGCAACCAAATAAAAAGCTGGCATGCTGGGCCAGATGGTCCTTTCCTGTGTCTTCTGTGCTCAAGGGGAGAAGCAGCATGAGGGGGCAGGGATGAACGTAGACTGATGGAGAAGACCAGAGTGAGATTTACCAGGAAAGTATTTTTCTGCAATTTTTTTTCAATTTACTTTTAGGGGCCTGATGCCAACAACTGAATGTTCTAAGATTTTCTTAATTAAGATTAGCTAGTATAATTTTCTTAAGTCCCATGATGGTGCAAGCAAAGTCTAAGAACCTTTTTCTCTAACTCACTCTTAACATGCAGAACTCTTGATTGCTTCCCCCGTAAGTAAACACATTTGTTAATAAAGATTGGAAACAGCAGTGTCTTACTCTGACAACTGACTCTTCAATGATCTCAAAGGTCAGAGGTTCTTGGGCATCAGTCCTTGTCAATTGTGAGATGAAGGAAGGATGGAACAGAATGCCAAACCATCTTGCTGCCACATCCTCACTTACCTGTCGTAGATTTCTAGGCCTATGAACAACTCATCCCACAATTCCTTTACTTTTCTTTCCTTCTATCCCTGATAGGTTTCTCTCTAAAATCCAGGCAGCATCTCTGGCAAGAGTCTCCCACAACTTTTCCAAAGCCCACAGGGAGCCAGGTGCCCATAGGGAGTAAAGAAGTGTCATTGCTCTCCCTTCTCTCTAGTTCCTTCTCCTTGCTTTCTAAAAGCTATTCAGGTCTCTGCAGAACTGCACCAAACTCTTAAGTAAAGGGGAAGTTTCTGACCAAAAACTTCAGTTTATCTAAAATTCACTAGCCCCAATCACCATCTTCACCAAAGACAAACAAACAAACAAACATTTTGTAACTAGGATTTGGATGTCTACACATACAATTTTATACCTCAGACTAAAGAGCTACTTTTGGTCTCCTTCAAGCACAGAAAAGTGGAACTACTTTTCTAAGATGAGAACTGCTGTTAAATGACAAGTCTCTGTCCTAAGCTGATTATGCCTTTCAGTAGCAGGGCATTACATCATCACATGCTCAGTCAAACAGAGTAGCTCAGATTCCTCAGACATGGATCCCCAAATCACATTTTGTTTCTGTAATATCCCAGGAGTTGCTTACTTATCACAAGTATTGTGAATTTTTCAAAAACTTTCAAAATTTAAAAAAAAAAAAAAAGGCTTGTCTTACCTCTGAGAGCAAAGTGTTATGAAGTTTCCTCACCATACAGCTCTACGATTATGAAAAAGTTGGAAAGAGATCCCTAAGTAGGGCCCATTAGAAATTTTGGACACATGATTTCCCCAGCGTGTGTTTATGAAGGGAGAGGGAAGGAAAAGATATCCCTGCACTAAGTGATAAATATTTAATGGCAGCCAAATAGAGGATGGGATTGGAATAGGTACTACAGCTGGAGAATTAGGAAATAAGAGACTCTGCTATGAACTCACTGTGTTATCTGGAATAAAATGGATACACAAAATATAACTGTCAAATGGATAAATAAATACAGAAGCAGACTGCCCATTTTCCTTGCATGGAGCAGCTTGTAGGTTCAAACCACTGACCTTTTGGTTACCAGCTGAGCACTTTAATCACTGCCCCACCAAAGCTTCTTAGTGATAACCCAAATAACTTCCATTAGAAGCATCAAATTTAAAACTGTTTGGGCAAGACAAGTTAAAGGAAGAAAAAGAAAGACTTGACGCCCAAATATATATTATCATAAAAGGTAAGGGGGTGTTTAAAAGGTTTTGCAATTTAAATGAAATCCATCAAAAAGCACCTACCAGCATGTGGCCCTATATGAGGTTCCAGGTAGATAATTTGAAACAGAAGTTTCCCAGTTAATATTGATTAATTATGTGTTTACTGAGTGCTTACTATGTGCCCAGCATTGTGTTAGATTCTGACAAATACCAAAGGACCCAAAGAGGCCCTTCTTCAAGGTACTTACAGCATAAGTGGAGACGGAGAACATTCACAGACAATCAGAGACTAACACAAATACTACCACACAGTTTTCCACACCATTACATATTGCCTTGTGTATCTTATAGGATCTCAGAAAAGAGAGGGCTCTAATAGGGCTGGAACAGTCCTGGGAACCCAGAGTTAGTAGAAAGTCTACTTTGGAAAGTAGGACAAGTCTATGGAGGCATAGGTAGCATCTGCCTATTTGAAAAGAATTTTCAAAGACAGTTAATTTTTTCCCTAAAAATACGCTGAGCTTCTTGATTGTCATCCTCTCACAAAATGGAGCCCAGTGACATTTACATGCAGAATGAAGGCACCAACCTACATTTTCAAGTACATGAATACACTGTGTAATTTTCCATTCTCAGTTGTTTATTAGATATGATAACTAGGAAATAAAAATTTATGTTATATTTTATAGGGTTTTTTTTTTAACTTCCAGAGGAGATCAGTCCATCTGAAAGGTAAACTATAGTACAATACCCTTAAAATAATAATCTCCAAGTCAAGATCAACAGCCTAGATAAAAATACTTTTTAATCTTTTTAAAATGCATTTTGAAATCATAGTTACATAATATATTCAGGATAACTGACCAATAACTGCAGATTGAACAATAAAGTATTAATCAGAATGTACAATCAAGTTACCTAAGCTGATAAGAAATACATAGCTGATTATTTCAATCAAATCACATCATCTATTCAGAAATATAATTATTCCTTTGAAGATCAGAAAACACCTCTGTGTTTTCAAGTTCTTTCATTCTTATTAATTTGTGACTTCCTGTCTTCAAAAACAATAACCATTAGGAGCTCATTTGTATGACCCAGAAAGACTCCTTGCCTATCAGATGCCTTTATATACAGTATTTTAACAAAAGAAGTTTCAATAAATTGGGAACATAAATGATAATGTTATACATAACCAAGGAAGTTTAACATGAAAACTTACAAACTTGCACTGAACCAGTCACTGGAGAACATCAGTGAATCAGAGGACCAAACCAACATATCTTTTCCCATCAAAGAAAAACAAAAACAAAAAACCCACAAATCCCTAAAAAGGAAATGCTAACTTTAGTTCAAAATGTCACCCACTATCTCTGACCTATTTGTGCTTTCATAATAATGAATACCAGTCCCTGGAGAAGGATATCATACTTGGTAAAGCAGAGAGTCAGCAAAAAAGGAGACAACCCCCAACAAGATGGATTGACATGGTGGTTGCGATGATGAGCTCAAGTATGGCAACAATTCTGAGGATGGCAAAGGGCCCGGCAGCATTTCATTTCGTTGTACATAGGGTCACTATGAGTAAGAACATACTCAATGGAATCTAACAACAAAAGCATAATACTAAGTTCACACAGAGTGAGTTCCATTCTCAATTCATGGATAAGGGTAGCAATAATAAAATAAGTTCTTAATTTCTATTTTAAACATTATCTCATCTATCCTCCCAGTTGATAAAATAAACATGGCATATATTTTTATGTCTATTTTGTGGATCAGGAAATTGAGACTGAGAAATTGAAAACTAACATAGACTAGCTCCTGATCCAAGAGCTGATATCTGTCTCCAATATCAAATTAGCTTCAACCCTGGCCAAAACAAAACCAACTGCCATCAAATCAATTCTGACTAATGACAACCCAATGTGTTTCAGAGCAGAACTGAACTCTATAAGCTTTTCCATAATTGGGTTTCAATTTTCTGAAATTAAACACAAGTGCCACTTCCATAAGACTAATTTTTTGGAAGTAGATCACCAGGCCTTTCTTCTGAGACACCTCTCAGTGCACTCAAACCACCAACCTTTTGGTCAGCAGCCAAGTATGTGAACTGTTTGCATCACTCGGGGACTCCAGTAATTCTAAAGCACTTCTCAAATATTTTGGCCATTCTTACAACTAAAATGTCTTAAACATGTTTGATCTTGCCCAAGTCACTATTCTGGTACCCAATTTCATTAATATTTATAGCACAGCACATGCACATTTGATTAGAGGTGCTATAAAGTTCCTTTTAACTCTACCATTTAATGGATGTATTAGTTGTGCAGCTTAGAGACCACCGAGTCTAACAACAGCAAACCAACCACAATAAATGGATTTGGTTGTCATGTGTAGAAAATGCTTTAAATTATAGTGTGATTTGATTTCAATGATCATTTAATACCAAAATTAGACATTACTAAAAACATTTTATAATTATCCAGGTGATTTTCATCTCCACTTAACAGGACTTT